GCAAAATCCACTTGAACATGACGCTGCTTTTTTCGAAGTTTCTCAAGAACCATTCGAGCCACAGAATTCGTTTTGGCATCGTTGGATAGATAATTCAAGGGGGGGTCATGACCCCCATGACCCCCCCTCCTGGGTCCGCCCTTGAAGGCACCATAAGGATTTTTCGGTGTTCGGTTCCCTATGAAGAAGAAAGAACATAAAAGACGTCAGAAATCAGTAAAAATTGATGAAAATTAGCTAATAAATCAGTTTAAATAACCAGCAACTTCAAATAAATCAGGCTTAATCATCACTAAAAAAAATCTAGCTGAAACTAGAACGTCCATTCAAGCCAAATAGTTCTACATCCGTCAGTAAATTACTTGCATAAATCCATGTTGAAACTCGAGTCTCGAAGATCATTAGAGGCACAACAAACAGCCAAAGCAACCGATAAAAATCCGTCCGGAATCAAAAGCATAAACAGAGAAGCTGACAGACAACTAATATCCGTAGCGCAAATACGCCAACTTTACAAATGACACTCCATAAATTAGATGCACTAGGAAGCGACCATTCAACAATCACGATGGTCTGCGGGAATTAAATACCATCATAGAAGCCGTCCTGATGCTATTCGTTATTTGCAGGATTTACAGCCGGTTTGAGGTTTAAATGGCCATTTTATGTCTTCGCAGTGGTCTACAGGAATATACATACCACTGTGAATCATCGATTTAAGATTCAGTTCTCACATAATATTATTATTTGTTTGCTGAATAGAATTTTATATTTACATAAAGCAGTTTCAATTTACCTCGATGAAAATTATCGATTAATTTGTGAACAGCCAAGGAAGGAAACCTCGAACAACTGTGTATACCTAATTCAGGTGAATAATCTCAACTTTGGAACATTTTCAGAAAATTTCAAAAATCTGTCATTTTCCATTCGTCTCATTCGTCAAAAATGACACCACAAAGTAATGTTTAGTTTTTACAGAAATTTTACACAACGTTTACACACTTTACATGTTCTCATCTGACTTGACTGCCTTTGCAAAATGTCCATCGCTGGAGAGTTTAAAAAGACAGAAGCGCGTATCTGACGAGATCCGGCACATTAAATGTCCAATTATAAAACTGGTGAAGAGGCAAATTGAAAGTGCGGAACAGAACATAACCAACAGTTTGGGTATATGCGAAAGGTCTCTATAGCATAACGGAAACAGGGGTTGAGATGAAATGTCTGTTATTTCCAGAAAAGGGTCTTGGAAGAACAAGTTGTGGCGCTATAGATGGACAATGCTAAAGTGGCTGGTCACTTTGTTGGTGATGATCAGCTTATTTGTGTATGGAGCGCTGTTAGGGGCGGGACTTTGCTCTTGTAGCGTATCGCAGCATAGCTTACCATGTGCAGGAACTTTCTCATTGATACCAGGACTCAACTTTGCCAAACGACATAGCTTTATTTATTAGCTCTAAGCTGGACAATATACACTATTTTCACCGTTTCTTCATCTAGTTTTCAAACGCATAGAAATCGAAGCAAAAACCCTTTGCGTTTGGACAGCAAGGGCGGATCCAGGGGGGGGCTCATGGGGGTCATGACTACTCCCCCCCATTCAATTCTCTATCCAACGATGCCAAAACGAATTCTGTGGTTCGAATGGTTCTTGAGAAACTTCGAAAAAAGCAGCGTCATGTTCAAGTGGATTTTGCAACTCAAAAAAAAACCACGCAAATCTAAAACTTCTTGAATTCAAGCCTTTTTTGAGAAAACTGCCAACATTTCCCCATCCATGGTTCACTTTCTAAAAAGGCCATTTATGTCTGTCTAGAATGATGTACAAATGAGCGTTCTTGCTCATTTTGCCTCCGAGAAATGAGCAAAAATGGGACGGACAACATGGAATTTTGGCATAATCTTGCACCTACGTGTCTGATATTCAAATTTCGCTTTCTGGGTCAAAACTACTCGGATTTCCTCACTCACGTTGCTACGACTGAATCGACTTTTCAATTCTCTATCCAACGATGCCAAAACGAATTCTGTGGCTCGAATGGTTCTTGAGAAACT